GGGAGGGGAAGGGAAAGGAGTTTGTAAGCCGCTCTGAGACTCCAAGTGAAGGGCGGGGTATAAATCCAATCTCCTCCTCCTCCTCCTCCTCCTCCTCTTCTTCCTCCTCTTCTTCCTCTTCCTCTTCCTCTTCTTCTTCTTCCCTGGAACTCCCTTCCCCCTACCTTTCCCGCATACTGCGATGCATGTTGTCTGTTTATTTGATGCCATTCTGATGAATCCAAATTATAAATAAAATATAAATATAAATAAAAAATTTAAGAGTTGTACAGAAAGATGGGAGAAGTGGGATGAGGCGGTAATTATCTCTCCAGTGCGGCTATCTGAGCCGCTTCACACTTGCATGTACATCACTCTCACAGAGTCACACCTGAATTCAGGACAAGGGAAGCTGCCTTAGACTGAGTCAGACTGTTGGTCTGTCATGCTCAGTACTGTTTGCTCTAGCTTTGTGGGGTCTCTCATAGCTAGTCTTAGATCCCTTCAGCTGCAGGCACCAGTGACTGACCTTGGGACCTTCTGCCTGCAAACAACATCACCGGGGCCATAGCCAGAATGTTGTGGTTTGTGGGGCAAAAACAACCCTCTTAAAACACCCCGCATTCAGCGAGTAATCCTCATGTTACTTTGAATGCATGCACAGCTGAATGCGCGCCTTGGGGAAAAGTTTTTAAACGAATTTAAAAAGCATTTCCTGGCAAAAATCTTTGGGGGCTGTCCCTTTAAGAAAGGTGGTGGCAGAGCCCTGAATAGCCCCACCGTAGCTATGGGCCAGAACATCACAGCTTGAAGTTAAAGCCGTAAAAAAAATTCCCAGCACAGAATCCCTATGCTGGGAGAAATTTTATCTGTTATTAAAAATCAGTGTTAATCAAGTGGTTAACATGATTGTTAAAGACACAGAAGTCCTGCCAGGAAAAAGTGGTAATCTTAGTCTTCCTTCTGATTTTAAGGAAATACTTGGCTCTGATCAACATCCCTGTCACCACCAATGTTCTTTGACATTCACAGGGTAGACAGCACACCCTTTACAAGAAAACCTCCTCCCTGTCAACAACATTGCCACAGAATGTAAGAAGAGTCCTGAAGGATTAGACCAAGGGTCCATCTAATCCAACATCATGTTTGGTGTAGTGGTTAAGCATGCGGACTCTAATCTGGGAGAACCGGGTTTGATTCCCCACTCCTCCACTTGCACCTGCTGATGTGACCTTGGGTCAGTCACAAGCTCTGGCACAGCTGTCCTTGAAAAAGAGCAGTTTGTGTCAGAGTTCTCTCAGCCCCACCCACCCCACAGGGTGCCTGTTGTGGGGAGGGGAAGGGAAAGGAGTTTGTAAGCCGCTCTGAGACTCCAAGTGAAGGGCGGCGTATAAATCCAATCTCCTCCTCTTCTTCTTCTTGTGTGTGTATTCGGACACTATATCTCTAAATATCAAGCACAGGGGATATTTAGAGGGATATTTATTCACACGCTTCTTGCTGGCTGCAAGGAGGTCTCTGACTGGCCACTGCTAGGAAGATGAGTCTGCATTAGATGGACTCAGGTCTGATCCGGCAAGTCTGTCCTCCTCTTCATGACAGACTCCATGTACAGAGGCAGTATACCCCTGAAAGCCAGATGTAGGGGGCATGCAACAAAAAATAGTGATTTCTATTATGTCTCTAGTCTCCAAATGTTTCTGGGAAGTCCACCAGCAGGGCATGAAACCTCTTCTGTTCCTTATGCCCAGCAACTGGTATTCAGAGGTCCACTGCTTCTGAAAGTGGACAATTGTCAGGTTCAACAGCATGTAAATCTCCACACACATTTCCAGGAAATCGTTATGCTTTATTAGACTACAGGTCCGTTGTCATGATCTACAGGGATATTGTTAGGAATGACAATGGGGCGGATGCATCACTACATATAACATGATTCTGCAATTGGCTAAGCAAATGAAATCCAAGCGCGCGGGGGGGGGGGGGGGTTTCCGGGCGGGAGGTTACATGATGAACGGGAGAGTCTCCGTGCCTCATGAGAGCAGAAATATTCACACCAACAGTGGAACGCAAGCCCTCCCTCCCTCCTCAAGGTTAGTCCGATAACCCAGTCTGGCAGCGCCAGTTCGCACGGTCTCATGAGCACCTCCCTACCGCTGTTTACAGCAAGCGAGCAAAGCAAGCGAGCAAGTATGCGCAGTCGTGCCACAGGCAGGAAAGGACAAATATGGATGAAACATGGCAGCTAGCTGACAACAATCCACTCAGCTGTCATGGCTGTTCGCTACAGACACACACCTATCCTTCATGGATGTATCCAAGCATTGCAACGAGGTGATCTCAACTCTCCTTTGTTAACTGGAGAATCTGTCTCATCTCTCCTTTTAACTGTCTCATCTTTCCTTTTAACTGTCTCATCTTTCCTTTTTTTTTTTAGGGCACGTCTGGAGGCCTTCTCGGACCACAGTGGCAAGCTGCAGATCCCCTTGCAGGAGATCATCGACTGGCTCAGCCAAAAGGATGAGGAGCTCTCAGCTCAGCTTCCGCTCCGGGGGGACGTTGCCCTGGTGCAGCAGGAAAAGGAGAGACACGCGGTATGTGCTGCCCCTGCAGCTCTGCTGGCCAGTCCCTTCGAGGATGTTGTCCCCAACTAGCAGCTAGCTGACAACAATCCACTCAGCTATCATGGCTATTCGCTACAGACACACACCTGTCCTTCGTGGATGTATCCAAGCATTGCAAAGAGGTGGTCTCAACTCTCCTTCGTTAACTGGAGAATCTGTCTCATCTTTCCTTTTAACTGTCTCATCTTTCCTTTTAACTGTCTCATCTTTCCCTTTTTTTTTTAGGGCACGTCTGGAGGCCTTCTCGGACCACAGTGGCAAGCTGCAGATCCCCTTGCAGGAGATCATCGACTGGCTCAGCCAAAAGGATGAGGAGCTCTCAGCTCAGCTTCCGCTCCGGGGGGACGTTGCCCTGGTGCAGCAGGAAAAGGAGAGACACGCGGTATGTGCTGCCCCTGCAGCTCTGCTGGCCAGTCCCTTCGAGGATGTTGTCCCCAACTACTTCCTCTGTGGATTTCTTGCTGTGGAATCAGAGCCCCACACTCAGCCTGGGATCTCCAGAATAATGAGATCTGCTGTCTCTGCATCTACGCCTATGAGGCAAAGTTGCTAGAAGGCAGTGGTGGGAGAAAAACAGTATGGGGGCAGCTATGCAGTCCAGATATTGCAATGTTTTTATTTATTTGCTTCAATTTTACCCCATTTAATCTCTGCCACAGGGACCTCAAAGGGCTTACATTGTTCTCCTGCCCTCACAACAACCTTGTGAGGCAGGTTAGGCTGAGAGTGTGTGACTGGCCAAAGGTCGCCCAGCAGGCTTCCATGACAGAGTGGGGGTTTGAACCTGGGTCCTCCCATGTCTTAGTCCAGCATTCTAACCTCTACACCATGCTGGATCCCAGTGCGTTCACATGCTTACTTCTAAATGCTCGTTTAGCAGAGGAGAGTTGAGTGTCTTCCACACAGGGATCTTGTGGTTTCCCCAGAATAATGAGATCTGCTGTCTCTGCATCTACGCCTATGAGGCAAAGTTGCTAGAAGGCAGTGGTGGGAGAAAAACAGTATGGGGGCAGCTATACAGTCCAGATGTTGCAATGTTTTTTATTTATTTGCTTCAATTTTTACCCCACTAAATCTCTACCACAGGGACCTAAAAGGGCTTACATTGTTCTCCTGCCCTCACAACAACCTTGTGAGGCAGGTTAGGCTGAGAGTGTGTGACTGGCCAAAGGTCGCCCAGCAGGCTTCCATGACAGAGTGGGGATTTGAACCTGGGTCCTCCCATGTCTTAGTCCAGCATTCTAACCTCTACACCATGCTGGCTCCCAATGCGTTCACATGCTTACTTCTAAATGCTCGTTTAGCAGAGGAGAGTTGAGTGTCTTCCACACAGGGATCTTGTGGTTTCCCCAATGGTGGTGCAGCTGTGGATAAAGCCCGACAGCAAGGAGGCTCCCACATGGTAGATTTCCCTGCAGTTTCCCTGCCCCAATTGCCCAGCAGCCACCACCACCCTCTCCTGAGCCACCAGGGCTTTTGCAGGTTTTTAAAATATTGGTGCTATAATATTATTTTCCTGATATATCATTGTAACTGTATGTGTATTCAGATTCTCTGAATTCCCACCTTTCATTACAAAAAATGTAAGCCTTCAGTTGCCAAGATATGCCTTTTTCCTCATGTTTCCACAAGACACAGGGCTAGAGACTTAGTTGTGTGTTTTTTTAAATGAAAGCTGAGAATGCAGAGAACCTGATAAACGTATTGTTGCAACGGTATAGCGATATAACAATATTCTAGTGCTGATTAAAAAAACAATAAAGCTTGCTTTCCTTTGTTCTCATCGCACAGTCTCCTTTGACCTGCTGAGAGGTGGAATTTATTTTGAATTTCGTGGATGTTTTTTGTCATTCGTGAATAGCCCAGTCTTATGTATCTCCCCTTTCCCATGTTCAGAGGAATGCTCTTTGGCCTATATCTTGTTTCTGGGTTGTGGGATGTTGCCTCCGATTCCAGTATTTTAACATTCCTTTTCCCCGTCTCTTCTCCTCTCTCTCCAACCTCGTGTCTCCGCTCATGAGTCCATTTGTTTTATGGCTTCAGGTTTTGTTTTTAATTCAAAGGTGCCCCCCCTCTCTTTTTGAATGAAATCTGTTGCATTTTACAAAACGTTGTACACTGCTGTGGGGGCTGAGAGGTGGAATTTATTTTGAATTTCCTGGATGTTTTTTGTCATTCATGAATAGCCCAGTCTTTTGTATCTCCCCTTTCCCATGTTCAAAGGAATGCTCTTTGGTTTATATCTTGTTTCTGGGTTGTGGGATGTTTCCTCCGATTCCAGTATTTGAACATTCCTTTTCCCCATCTCTCCTCCTCTCTCTCCAACCTCGTGTCTCCTCTCATGAGTCCATTTGTTTTATGGCTTCAGGTTTTGTTTTTAATTAAAAGGTGCCCCCCCTCTCTTTTTGAATGAAATCTGTTGCATTTTACAAAACGTTGTACACTGCTGTGGGGACTCCTGCCAAAAAACCAAGAACAAATCTAATAAATACATACACATTTACTCAGAAGGGTCAGCCTAGATGAGAGACTGGGAGACCCATGAATGAGTTCTCCTAGCCTTTCCAGATGAGGACGGAAGTATTATGCCCTAATTTCCATTTACTCTAATGGTGTTTATTTCCAAAGAAATGTGTGTCAATTGCAGCCTATTTCACTGTTGTGTCCACTGACCGCCACCGGAGGTCGGTGCACACGCCAAGCTTCAGCCCAGGACAACAATGGGACTAGGGCACTAGTCTCGCCACTGGGGGAAACCAATGGGACCGAGGCGGGATAGTATAACCCGCCAATGGGACCCAGGGGTGGTCCCCTGGTAATGTATATAGTTGGCCGGCCGGCCATTTTCTCTCTCTCTTGTTGTGTATCCAATAAAGCGTGCTATGCATTACATGGTCATATGTCGTTCGTTCATGCGGCTGCCCACTACACAATAGTGGCGACGAGGATGGTATTCACCTTTCTTCCAAGGCCTTGAATCCTGCATTGCCTCCCCTGTGCTGGTATCTCAGGGAGCAGGCATGCATTCAACACATCAGGTAGTGGCGTGATGTTTTTTGCAACTCCAGCCAGCACCTCCACTTCTCTCTCACTCTCTCTGTGTCTCTCATAGGCATTCATGGAGGAAGTGAAGTCTCGTGGCCCATACATTTACTCTGTCCTGGAATCGGCTCAGGCCTTCCTCACTCAGCACCCGTTTGAAGAAGTGGAGGAATCCAATCCCAACAATAAAGGTTTGCGATTCCGCCTTCCTTTCTCTGCTCCCCAGCTAACACCACCACCGCTGCAATTTACAGCAGCCTCTGCTGGATTCCTGCCCAGCCGGAGCCATGAAAGGCTGCCAGCTCGACGCAGCGGCCAAGATATATTTGCTTCTCTGTTGGCCCCCTGACTTCTCTTGTCACCTTGGAAAGATCTCATAATCCCTCTGTGCCCTGGATTTCCTGTGAGCGTATTAGAGATTATTATCCTGCCCTTCAAGGGGATATTGCTGAGTTAATTTACGGATCGTGCCTTGAAAAATGCAGCTGGGCAAAACCACTGATGATGTTTACAGGCGATTTCTTTGAAGAGTCGGGTTCAAACAGCGTTCTGGGGTGCTTTGAAAGTTTATTAGAGTTCGCCAGTGAGAAGGGGAAGGTCAAGCCCAGTGGCTGACTTTGCAAGGAGAAGGTCCCGGGTTGAATTAAGCAAGGTCTCTGGCTGCTCTCTGCCCTCACTCTTGACAGTCCTAACCAGGGCTTTTTTCCCTGGGGGAATGTGCTGGAGCAGAGTTCCGGAACTTCTTCGACGAAATTATTTTTTAAATGTTTAGAAGTTCATGAGTTTTCAGTATGCAGATTGAAAACTTCATTTCCCTCTTGAGAATTCCGGCACCTCTTTTTCAAGAAGAAGACTGGCTGCTTCTTGCTGTTCCTCTGGGGATCTTAGGTTGAAAAGGATTTAAAAACTTCTCAGGCGGCTGATGCTGGGAAAGACCAGTGGCTCAGTGGCAGAGCATCTGCTTTGCATGCATAAGGTCCTGGTTCAATCCCTGGCAGCTCCAGCGTAAGGATTTCAGGCTGATTGATGTGTGAGAAAGTCTAAGTGGTGGACAAGTGGGCTGTCAACAGATGCACACCTGTGATTCCATTCTGGGACACCCAGTGCCCACACATGGGGGGGGCTGATTTGGGTCAGGACTGTGATGTGTGGGGAGAAGGGTCATTAGCCTTTCTCTCACCACTGTAGGAGCCTGTTGGGGGAACTTACGTGTAGCCCTCAATATTGGCACTGCAGGGCTGTTTCAAGCAGGGAAAACAGCTCGAGGGGAAAGCTGAAGCATATCCCTTATCCCTGCACGCTGTGATTCCAATTTGAAACCGAGTTCCCAGCATGGAATTCTAGAGGCACATCTCATTCAAAGTCCTCATGGCCACTTGTCCTGACCTGGATAGCCCAGGCAAGCTCGATCTCGTCAGATCTCAGAAGCTAAGCAGGGTCGACTCTAGCAAGTACTTGGATGGGAGACCTCCTTGGAATACCAGCCAGCGGGAGGGAGGGAGGGATGGGCAGGCTTTACTCAGCCACCTCTCTGAACACCCTCCAGGCTCCCAGCAGGGGTCAGTCACCAGAGGTCTCCATGACTTCCAGGTGTGCGCATACACACAAATACAACTCCCCCCCCCAACAAAGTCTTCTTGGCAGCTACATTTATTTGTTTTAGAGAATTTTTGTACACCTCTCCGGGGAACCTGCCCGAGGCGGCTTACAAAACAAAACATGATAGAAATGTAGACCTACATTTATACCTCTCAGTTCTCCCCAATGAGGACCCAAAGCGGCTCACACCATTTTCTTCTCCACCGTGAGGTAGGTTAGGCTGAATGCATGTGACTGGCCCAAGGTCACCCAGTGAGCTTCCGTGGCAGGGTGGAGATTCAAACTTGTGTCTCCCAGATCCTAGTCCGACACTTTAACTACTACATTGCGCTGGCTCTCAAAACATTAAAAAGTTATTAATGTCAAATTCAGATTAAAGAAACCCCAGTCAGAACAGAAAACCCTATAGATAACTGAACAACATAAAGACACAGTTTTCAGACTAAAAGCACACTATAAAATGGTATTAAAAGATCAATGCCTTAATTAAAAGCCCGGGTGAACAGAAACGTCTTGCCCTGGTGCCTAAAAGAGAGCAACATAGGCGCCAGGCAAGCCACAAGGGAAACGGCATGGACTTTGTCACTTATGAATCAGTCCACAGGTTGCAGGTGTAGGGGAAGACCATCTTCTGGCTTCGAGAGATCCTCTTCTAGCTTCCAGAGGTGGTCAGCAGACAGTGCTGGGCCAGATGGATGGGAGGCAAAATGGAAAGACACATTACTCCATCTCTGTAGTGCCGCATCCACAGAGGCACATTCTCAAATCATCTGGCGCAACAATGCAGCCCAAAAGGCCTGGCCAGCACATTGTGGCAACTTAGTGTGTGCACTTAGAACACACCCCAAAGCCAAAGATTCCTTGGCAGGGAGTTAGGAGAGGTCCCTGGCCGATGAAGAGTTTTTCAGCCCTTGACTCAAAAGCCACCATATGGAAACACAAAGGGTTGTGTTTTTTTCTTCCCAGACAAACTTGGCACCATCACAGGTTTTCTGTAATATCATTGCCCTTTTATAGAACTACAAGTCCCTGGCTGGAAGCAAAGAACAATCATAGTTGGGTCTTTTGCTGCGATGCACTCCTGGCTTCACAATGTGTACAGCTAGGGTTGCCAGCAGTCCTGGAGGAAAATGTCCTGCCCCTTTAACAGAGGCTTTTAATGGGTTGTTATCTACCAGGTGAAGTTATTCGCCTCCTTTACCTCCAGGTGAAGTTATTCACCTCCTCTGGGTATAGAGCAAGGGTCACTGGGGAGTGTGTGTGTGTGGGAGGTAGCTGTGGATTTCCTGGACTGTGCAGGGGGTTGGACTAGATGACCCTTGAGGGTCTCTTCCAGCTCTGTTTCTGTGCCATAAAAAACCTTCAACTGTCCATTTCCACAAATTCCTCACATTATTAAATAAAATAAAATAAAGGAGTGCAAGGGACTTTTCCCCAGGCCTGCTGGCAATCTTCTGTACAACAGCCATGCGTTCCAGCAAATCGGATGCTTGTTCATCTTTCAGTGTTGTCCCTTCTCTCAGGTTACCCTCCTTCTTTGTTAGAAATGACTCATACTTTCGTTCATTTGTATGTTATTTTTTTAAAAGAAGCAGACATTTTGAAAGAAATGTTACAGGACTCTCTTATGTCAGGCTGGAAGGCAATGTGTCGGTGGTGTCACACGTGCTAGTCACGCCACATCCTCCTGGGCCGGATTCCCCTCTCCCTTCAAAGTGCAGTGAACTTGCAGCAGAGTTGTAGAATAAACTTCCTGGAATCTGTCCTGGGACAGAAAACATAAGAAGCGCAGCTCAAACAAAGGGCTTTTCTGCTCATTCTGTTTAGTCCGGATTTTCTTAGCAGTCGATCCACAAGCACTGGAATTGGTTTGGGCAGGGCTCTTCTGCACGTCAGCCCTCCCCCTGCATTTGCACAGTTGTGGAGTCAGTTTATTTTCATCCCTACTCGTCTTAAATAATCAGGATTTTCAAGGGAGGGCGCTGTCATCATCGGTGGCATCATCAGTGGTTTCACACCTCTCTCTTGATTTTTTGGGCATGCTTATATCTCGATATAATGTTATCGTGGCTACATTTTTTTTAAATGGCACTGCGATATCAATATATTGATCTACAGTTGTAAAAAAAATGGAAGGCTCCTTTTATCATATGTGGTGGACATGTGATAAAGCAAGAAGTTATTGGGCTGAGATACATAAAGAAATGGAAAAAACTGTAAAATGTAACTTTAAGAAAGAACCTGAAATACTACTGCTGGGACTTAAAATGGAAGAAGTTAATGTGCAGAAAAGAACTTTGATGTGGTCACAACTGCTAGAATGACTTATGCACAATGTTGGAAACAAGACAGAATCCCGGAAATCAGGGAATGGATAAAGAAATTACTATTTATGGTTGAAATGGACAAAATGACAAGGAAACTTAAGAACCTTGAAGCAGAAGAATTCTATGCAGACTGGAAAGACTTTAAAGAGTATTTAGAAAAATATTGGGATGTAAAGGACAATTTAATTTGCTTTGATAATTATTGAAAAGTTAATGTTACTAGATGAAAGCTAATTAAGAGAAAATAATAGTAGAAGGAAGCGTTACCGGTAGATTATGATTAAAAGATAAGTGGAGAATAGAAAAGAACTAAGAAATGGGCTGGAGGTCGGAGCACTGTGGGAAGCTGGGGGGGGGGGGGAAAAAAGGATGTATAACAAAAAGTAAACCTCTAGCTCCTTTTCTTAGAGATACGCTTTTTTCCTTGTCACACGAGGAAAAGGGCAACTCAAAATTGGTAAAAGTGGTCTCAAAAGAGGGGGGGGGAGGAAATAGGGAAACAAACAACCAGAAAACCCAGAGTGAATACTAAAGGCACAAAAATGTGTACAAAAATCACGAGAGAATCAAATACAGAATGGGGCCAGAACTAACCCAAAAAAAAAAAAAAAACATGCAGAAGAGCCCAAAGTGGGTTGGACCCACTGTCCATTTCCACGGGTATCCCATTCCCACTCCAGTCCTTTCTCACGCTGTTCTTCAGGGTTTCCCGTCCCCCAGGACCAGCATTGTGTGGAGATCAGCGGGCTGCACCGGTGGTGAGGGGCGCAGGAAACTTTCATTCTGCCAGTGGGAAATTTAGCCTGGATCCAGCCCAGTATGTCTTTACCATGAAACAAGCTTGAAACCAGTTTTGTCATGTGCAGACGTGGTCTGCAAAAGAAGCCCCGAAACATGGAGCACGCAAGTGCTGACAAACAGAACCCACCGCCTGCGGGGGGAACAACTTACACCTGTGGTACTTGGGTAGCACCCAGAATGGGAGATGAAATAAGCAATAATGCACATGAGGCATTCATTCTTTCTTTCCCTCCCATTTCCCCACCCTTCCTCTTCCTCCCTCAACCTGCCGTCACCGCCCCCTCCCACTCACACTCCTCTCTGCCCTCCCCAAAGCTCCTCCTCCCCCCAATGAAGCCACACCTCCCGGCATCCGGTGTCCTCACCCTCACTGCTGCTCCCTTTGCAGATGCCTCCCCAAGACACCGCATCCAGAACGTCAGCCGTTTCGTGTGGAAACAGGCCACCGTCGCCAGCGAGCTGTGGGAGAAGCTCACCGCCCGCTGTGTCGACCAGCACCGCCACATCGAGCGGACCCTGGAGCAGCTGCTGGAGATCAAGGGCACCATGGAGGAGCTCAGCATCACCCTGGACCAAGCGGAGAGCGTGCGAGAGACATGGGAACCCATTGGCGACCTCTTCATTGACTCGTTGCCGGAACACATCCAGGCCACCAAGGTAACCTTGACTCAGGGGCTCATCCTGGACTTATCCACGTGGGTTGGCAGGAGGGAGACAGATGGGAGATGCCTCATTAATATGTCACTTGGCCAAATATGTTAGTATTTGAAGCTGCCTTGTGCTGATTTTAGCTATTGGTCAACTGGCTCTCCGGGTTCTTTCCTAGCCCTTCTATCTGAGATCCTTCAGCTGTCAAGGACCAAACTGGGACCTTAAAACAAAACCCGAGTCCAGTGGCAGCTTTAAGACCATGTTAAATAGTGGGTTTAACTCGGCAGAGGTGAAGGCAGAGTGATTTCAGCAAGCAGGAGTTTATTGCCTCTCAACAGGAATACTTTACATGGGGCAATTGCCCTAACTATATGCACCTAAGCCACTCCCAGCCCCCATGCGATTGGTGAGTTCAAATGGCCTCCAGGCTCCAGATTGGCTGGCTGCCCTTGGGGGCCAATTCGCAAGCAGGTTCCAGGGTCCTGCCTGTCTTTGTTCTGAGGCTTCAAGCTCCAACCAGGTGGCCTGCCCGGACAAGCCCAGACAATCCTCTCCATGCTCCCTCCAGATGGTCTGCCTGACAAGTCCAGGCATGCCTCCTTATGTCCAGACATAAAAGGTAAAGGTAAAGGTTCCCTTGCTCGAAAGCCAGTCGAATCCGACTCTAGGGTTGTGGTGGTCATCTCCGTTTCAAAGCCGAAGAGCCAGCGCTGTCCGAAGACGTTTCCGTGGTCATGTGGTCCAGACATAACCAACATGTTTAATTCTGGGTGTAAGGTTTCATGTGGATGCACACTTCTCCAGATGCCTGCACACAAACATTTATACCCAGAATTAAACTTTGTTGGTCTTAAAGGTGCCACTGGACTCAAACTTTGTTCTGTTGCATCAGACCAACACGGCTGCCCCCCTGAATCTATCTTCTGGGGACCTTAAGATAGTAATGGAGACTCAGGGAGCAGTCCTAAACAGGTCTCCTTAGACGAAATTCCCATCACGAACTTTACTCCCAGGAAAGTGTTCTTAGGACTGCAGTCTTCATTAGATAAGAACCACACCTTATGTTAAGTCTTGGCTTGAACAAAACTAAAGTGAGGCAGACCTATGTTTGCAGAGATTAATTTTAGAAAACGCAATAAGTGTTGAAACAATGGAGGAGTAATTGGGTGGTGTAACCTAGTGGTTAGAGGTATGGCTAAGTGCGTGGACTCTAATCTGGGAGAACCGGGTTTGATTCCCCACTCCTGCACTTGCACCTGCTGATGTGACCTTGGGTCAGTCACAAGCTCTGGCACAGCTGTCCTTGAAAAAGAGCAGTTTCTGTCAAGAGTTCTCTCAGCCCCACCCACCTCACAGGGTGTCTGTTGTGGGGAGGGGAAGGGAAAGGAGTTTGTAAGCCGCTCTGAGACTCCAAGTGAAGGGCGGGGTATAAATCCAATCTCTTCTTCTTCTTCTTCTTCGTTCTCTTAAACAAAGCCCTAACTCTAGTTGGTTAAAAAAAAATTGGATCATGCATTTTTATCCTATCCGCCCTTCAGCTCCTGCACACGTGGTTCTTTCTACACGGAGATACATTGTGCACAATCCTTGCTTGTATTTCCATACTGAAGGAGCGCAAAGTCACTGATTCTATTCCTCTCTCTTGCTGCCTCCATCCTGTGTCTTATCCTTTGGGTCGGGGCCCAGTTGTTTAAAGAGGAGCTCTCCCCTATGAAAGATGGAGTGAAGCTTGTGAATGACCTGGCACATCAGCTTGCGATCTCAGATGTTCACTTGTCCATGGAGAATTCTCGGGCCCTGGAACAGATCAACACACGCTGGAAACAGCTGCAGGTGAGGAAGGACGGTGGAGCAGCTTGAGAACAAGGGAGGAGGGACCAGTCTAGCTCCAGTGCCTTAGAGAGGTCTTGGTCAGGGACGGGGTGGCTGGTTCATGAAAGG